ACAGCCCCTTTAATGAAATGAAACATCACGTCTTTATGTTAGTTATTTCATGATACATAGGATTTTTGGAAACAAATTCTGCGCTTTGATTATACCAAAACACAAGCACAAATGGAGCAAATTGCTTAGTTAATTATTAAAAAAATTATCCTTTCACCACAACTTTTTATGTCTTCAATGTAACAATGTATTCAGCTTCAGTCATAATCAAGGCTACAACTAGTTTTATATTAGCCTTCCAACTAACTGTAGTTCCAAACACCTTAAAACACGTAACCTTTAAGGAATCTTCGAGTATCAAGATAGTTTGCATAATTTAAATCTACATATCCTACTATCACCTCCTCTACATAATCAATTTTTTCATACCTTAAGGTCATGGTTCCATTGAAATGCCTTGGCACCTATTTTACAGCTTCGCAATGATGCCTTTCTAGATCAGCTATGAACTTGCTTACAACACTGTGAATTAGCAAAATATGGCTTACAAAAAATCATAGCATAAATGATATTATCCACTAAATTTTGCTGGGAATTTTCTTCAGATATGATTCTTTACGATCATCACTTGATCTTTGTCATTGCATAACTTAGAATGCCATGCTAAAGATCTAGAAAAAAGTTTAGAAGCTGCCATCCCATACCCATTTATAATATTTTTGATATATTTACCTTGTGAATGGAACAATTCTTGCCTTTATTTACTTCTAAAGATCTCCTGTACAATAAATTTCTTGGCAGGACCAAGATCCTTAATTTAAAAGTACATCTTGAGCAAAGCCTTTAATCTTGTGATTTTTTCTGAGCTAATACCTGCAAGTTATATACCATCAACAAAAAGTAAAGGATGTATAGTGTTATTTGCTTCTCATATTTTATATATACAAAAGAATCATATTTGCTATGAGTGAAGCCAATATCAAGCATGCACTTATCAAATTTTTTGTACCATATTATTGGATATTATCAACCCAGACAGATCTTTTCGGCAAACAAACTTGATTTTCAATTCATATTTAAGCATATCATTCTGGTTGATTCTTGTAGATAGTTTCCTATAACTCTCCACATAAGAATATTGTTTTTACATCCATTCGCTTAAGACGCATGCAAACAGTACAACCATGGTAAGGAGAATACATATAGATGTATGATTTCAACTGGAGAGGAAATTTCAGCATAATCTACACCAATTTTTGGTGTAAACTCTATTGCTACAAGCTTCACTTTGAATCTTGGCTCCTGTATTCTAGGGATTTTATATTTTTTAATGCACAATCATTTGCAGTTAACAACTTAACATTTCTAGGCTCGTCTACTTACTCCCAATTGAGATTCTCTCAAGGGAGATAATCTCATAATCCATGGCTTGTTTCCATTTATTTTATTATGCACTTTCCATGGTTTTATTTTATGGTAATCAACTATTAGAAATTCAACTACATGCATACAAAAACTTGACATATGCTTACCCATACCTTTGTGTTTCTTGAACCATTCACCTAGTTTTGTCCTTGCAAAACCTAACATACTTGCATTTTTTTAATGTTTTGCTGTATAGGCTATTTAGGTTTTTTGTTAATTGATTATTGATCATTGCTTTTAAAAATTTTAAGTTTCTTTGACTTCTCTACGTCTAGTTGTAATATCCAGTTTGCATTAACAATTTTTCTTTGAGCCATAGTTCTTGAATCTAAATTTATCATTTTTTATTCATTAATGACAACCTCCTTGCTGATCAAATATTTTGGATGGCTTGATTCCAAGCAGCATGAACCCTTTTACATTTTTAGGATATCCAATGAAAAAACATTTCAAAGCCTTAGGTTTTAATTAGCCCAGCCTAATGTGAGAACCTAAGCAATGCAACCAAATACCTTTAGTCTTTTATAGTCTCTTGGTTGTTGGCTCAACCTTCCTTGTGGTGTGTTGAACTAGTTGATAAATGACACCTATTTATTAAATATGCAGCTGAACTGATTGTTTCTGCCCAAAATTTTTTGGTAAGCATTCATCATTCAACATGCATCTTATCATTTCAAAAATGGTCTCGTTGCAGCATTCAACTGTCCCATTTTCTTAGATGTCAACCTCACTATGAAATGCCGTGCTACTATTTGCTCCTTGCAATACTTCTTGAATTAATCTGAGCAAACCTCAAGGCTGTTGTTAGTTCTTAGCTTTTCAACCTTCTTTCCTATCTGAATATCAACCCGAGTTTTCCATTCTTTGAATTTTTCAATGGCTTCATTTTTCTGTTTTAAGAAATATACACACCAATTTCTTTATTGATCAATTGATCATCAATAAAAGATAAAAAATACCTTGCTCTGGCATGTGACTCTCTTCTTGCAGGATCCTATAAATTTTGAATCCACATAATCTAAATTTTCTTTAGATTTATATTTTGAAGTGGCAAACTTCAATTTTGCGGATTTTCTGACCTCACAATGTTCACAAAAATTCAAATATGAGGCTTATTATTTCCAAAGAACTCTTTATTGTACAAATTTTCAAGCTCTCTTTGGCTAACATGTGCTAATTGTTGATGCCACAACTTAGTTTCATCAATAAGATTACAAGATATATGATGATCAAAGAACTTTTGTATACCTTTTAAGGCTTTTATTATCATATTTGAAATGAGAAAAATCCCAAAATAGTCCCACGACTAATTTATGCTCTAAAATATTCACATTTTTCCAATTTAATATCTTGGCCCCAAATGGTCCCTAGGGACCAAATTGGACTCAATTTTATATAATTGAGGGACTAAATTGTGATCAAATTTTACATGAAAGATTATTTGAGATCAATTTTGTATAATCATGGGGTTAAATTGAATAAATTTGGCACTCTAAAACTAAATTGACCACAACGAATAGTCTGGGGACAATTTTTGGGCCTTTTCTCCATTTAAAATTTTATCCATGCTGAACTAATTCAGCAAAATAAATCAATGTTCTTCTAAGTTCAGGAACATATCCTACTTTCTTGAGTGGTCTTTCCATGCCATCATGAAGTTTGAGTTTAATGACTCAATCACCTTGTACGTTGCATGCCTTAATTGTTTCCCAGATACATTGTGCCACATTCTTTTTCATTGAGAAACTCAAACCAATTCCTATTTGATCGCATATGGTAGGAATTTCAAAAGCATAGAGTTACTCCTTGCTTGGATTTGAATATGAGATTGGTTAAATTTTAGTATTTTCATAGCTTTCCCCATTGTTGCGGCATCTCACCCATCTCAGACCCTTTGTTGCTTCTTATTTTTCCTCGTACAATTATCCCTTGATTAGATTCAATATTTCTTTGAATGAATTTAGCATAGCCTTTACTTTTGACATAACCAAAAAATCCTTTCCATAAAACATAATGTTAATGAAATATTCATTTCTACTTGGTAATGAACTTAGAAGAATAGTTGCTTGATCTTTATCATTATTCTCACACCTATGCTTTTCAAATCAAGAACTTTATGATTAAAATTATCTACTTGCTTATTCAATACTTATTCATTTGCAATATATAGAATTTTTTGAGATACAAGTATTCTACCCTTCTTCATATTTTGATGACTGTTTTTTCATTTGCAATTTATTGAAACACCTTATGTCCAAAATCTAGTTGAATTGCGCTCTGAGCTCTATGGGACTCCTCTCCATACAATCTTGCTTCTACTTTTAGGATTGCCAGTTTCAACGGATCCGGAATCCAAGCCTTGGCGGACAAGAAGTGACTACATTTTTAGCTTCCAAAGGCTGAAATTAATGAGACTGGTGGACTTTTTAATCTCAATATTGGCCATTGACATCTTGATTGCTTAACCTCCTTCATTACTGATCTTCTTGATAAAGATACGAGAAAGACAACAAGAATACACACCTCATATTCTCTGTCAATTGAAGTTAGCTTCTTGCTTAATCAACATAGCCCTTCTTTATAGCACTGTCTCGGGATCAACATGCTTCTGGCTTCCTCTATTTTCACTGCTGTTTGAACATGCTGCTAGCAATTCCTCCTCAGCCTTTACTCTGAATTGCTGGATCTAAACTACTGTTCTTTGATATGAATTGAAGCATTCCTCCGTGGAATCAGAATCCCCCTGAGAGCCAACCTCCACCATCCCCTTGAAAAACTACCTACAGTCAAGCTTTCCTTTTGGTTCTTGAAACAAAATTGAAAATAGCAAATGAAAAAGTCAGGGAGAAGGAGAAGGAATGGAAGAGGAGAAGAAATTATCTAGTAAAGAAAATGAATTATATCGTGATTACAACAAAATGTGAGGTTGTATTTATACTCACACCTTAAGGTGAACTTGTAAACTGAAAATTACACCCCTACCCCTGACTCAAAAAAACTAAAAATAATTTTTAAACTAAATTAAGTAAAGAATTAAGGGATCAAAATAGCACACTTCTAAGTTTGAATGTGATTGGAATATTATAGCAAGTTTTTAAACCTATTTTAAACATTAGGAGAAGTTATTTAAACTTATAACCATATGAGGTAGCTTTCATAAATAAAACTATTTTTTTTTCTCAGACATTTGGTTTCGTTTAAGTTTAGCTGTTTATATTGATGAAATCTGGTGTGATTTGCTGCTCATAGATGTTGCTCATGTTATTTTGAGTAGATCTTAGTTGTATGATTTAGATCTTAACTTATTTTTAGGTGGTCTACATGTGCTTTCTAGAAAATCAAATGTTACCAAGGTGCAATTGGTTTAAGAATTTCAGGCCTATTCTAAAAATGTGAGGATATAATTTTTATAGTTAAAGCTACATTCTCAAAATAGAAAAGTGTCTTATGAGTATCATGTGATAAGAAAATTTTCATATGATAAGGGTAAATTTTATAAAACTGCAATTAAACTGACAATGTTATATTAATTTAAGTGTTGAGCAGATCAAATAAATGATAGCTAAGTGCTCAGGAATAGTGATTGTCAATTCATTTCTTTTTTGGCGACTAAGACTCTCCTGATTTTGTTTCAGCAAGGCATATCTTATGTGAGAAACAAGGGCAGATCAATGAAGCATACAAGAAACTGCAAGAAGGTTGGTTGAGCAATGGAGACAAGGTCCCGCCTGCAGAGTTTGCTAAGGTTAACGGTGAACCTTCTGTCATGCTATGAAGTATTTTCATATAGTCTACCTCTATGCGGTTACTTATTGTTGTTAGCAGACTCATCATTCAAAAATACTTCCGGTTGGAATTGCTTCTTTGCTTATACTTGTGATGGAAAAAAGTCTCATTGCGTTTTTTTAACATCTATTTTTAGTGAATTGTTTTATATAATTTAAGTTTTGTGATGTCATATTCGAAGGTAAATTTTACAAATATTTGTAACTCTTTGGGCTAATTTTTTAGTCTAGTAGTATATAATGAGGGATATCCTGGATATATGGATCTTGTCTTACTATGTTTTATTACTTTATTTAATAAAGTGGCCCCATGAATTTCAGATGAATATTTTTTAACTCTTTTATTCTTTGGTTCATTAAACTTCCCTGCAACTTCTAAATTTTTGTTGGCTGAAATGACAAAATCTCTTGGGTCAAATTTACACATGCAAGCAAAGTATCTTCAATTATTAATACTTTCTGATAGATGTGTGGCACAATGACTAGAAAAGAGACTGGTGCATGGAAAGTATGCATCCTCTTTGTAAATGAACTGTTTTTATTGATAATATTTTAAGGAAACTCTCAGGTCACCTAGTAAACTATACATATATTGCATAAATCATTGCATGTTCTATGCTTCGCGTTTCTATGCATGTTAACGTGCAACTTCAGTCATTGCTGATGCATACTTACTCTTTGTTAGATGTGCTTGCTTTCTGTATCTTAGGTTGCGGCAGAGTACTCAGAATGCCCCTCAGGAAAGAAAGGTGGAGATCTTGGATGGTTTCCTAGAGGGAAAATGGCAGGGCCGTTCCAGGAAGTTGCATTTGGCACACCAGTTGGAGCTACCACAGCACCTTTCAAATCAACGTAAGTACTTGTTTGTTAATCTTATATGACTTGTCAAACCTATTTGATGTAATGGCATAATTTTTTTAATATTTATGTTGCAATAAGAATCCAACTAAACTCTTTGGATCTAGGATTTTCCTAATATAAATCTAGGATGGATGAATAAAAAATATGCATAAAAAATTGCTATCCATCAACTCTTAATTAGGCAAAAACCTCCGCTCTCTTTTGATGCAAATTAAAAAAACAACATTTAGCGGGCTCTAAACAACAATGTAAAGATCGTCCAAAGTTAAAATTTTGCAAGAAGTTGAGGTAGAATCAAAACCACACAATAGATAGAATTTACATCATAAGAGTGTTGGCTCAAGATGGGGTAAGAGCTGCCTGGGACAGGATGAGGGGAGCTCGCATGGATATTTCAGAGGAGCTGCTTGAGCTTTTGGAGATATCAACTGAGCTCAAGGCTTTGAGACAGAGAAAGAGGATTCTTTTGGAGAGACGACGATAGCTTTGAGCAGGCGCTGCTTCTTCTGCGAAGGACTTGGCTTGGATAACTGCTGAGGTTGAGAGATTAAAGCAGAATTTGTTGTCATCCACTGAGGAGTTTAACTTGTTGCATCATCAGTTGGAGACCACTCAAACTAGGAAGATGATGCTGCAGGATCGTTTGCTCAGAATTAAACAGGAGATTCGTAGCATCCAGTTCAGACTTTGACAGCTTTTTTGACTTCTTTCTGGTATGTATATATGCATGTATTTTATTTAATTTTCTCTCCCTTTTTGTTTTGTTGAATTGACATATTTTTTTAGACTTTTAGTCTTTTATATTTGATTAAAAATGGCTTGGCCTTTAGGTTTTGTGAGCACATAGAGTATTTAGAAGTTTGGTGTTTTAGACTTGTTAAACTTGTGTGTGATTTCAACCTTTTAAATAGGCTGATGAAAATAGCTCGGCCCTTAGGTTTATAAGCATAAAGGATTTTTAGAGGTTCGATCCTTAGACTTATTGACTTGTATTTTCTTTAACATTCAAGTTGATGAAAATAACTCGACTCTTACGTTTATGTGCATGAAATATTTTAGAGGTTCAGATCTTAGACTTATTAAACCTATATAATTAGCTCGACCCTTAAGTTTATGAGCATCGAAGTGAAAGGGCTTATTGGAGACAAGTGGGCGTGCAGGTAAAGCCTGGTCCGGTTGGGTTGGTCGATTCCACTTGGGAAGCCAATTGTTGTTGTCGTGAGTTTGTGAAGGAAGCAATAGGAATGAATGTAAAATCCGAGAGTGCAAGTTTTTTTTTGTCTTTTATTGATTGCCTTACCGAATGGGAGTAATGGGCATGAAGAGTTGCTTCGTTTGAGCATGCAACTGTGTAGAGTGGGGCCCAAATTGGAAAGATGTGTCTGTGCTATCATTTATTTCTTTTACGCTTGTTTTTTTTTATTCAGCAATGAGTAAAAATTAGTTTATAGCAAACTTCATCAAATATCCATCGCACACACAAAATCAATTACAAATTAAAAAGATGAAAAAGAACAATGATAGGACTCATGCTATGATGCACAGACATGAACACCACGACACAGATATGGCACTACACGGACACGTGACACATCAATTATTGAAAATATAGGACACGGGTTGGACAATATTATAATTTTTATATTTTAAAAAGTGTATAAAAATTGAATAAGTATAATTTTAAAAATTATTTAGAAATAATAAGTTATTTAACTATAATTTGTGCTTAAAATGATTAATATTAGGATGTCGAGAGTCGGGTGTCGATGACGTTTATTAGTCATCGAGAGAGTAGTTGACAATGATGTCGAGAGTCAGGCACTCAGACATTGATGTTATGCAGTAAATATTGGGCAGCGTCAATGTTAAGAGGGCATTTATCGTTGATGTTGTGAGGGGATTGGTCGTCGATGTTGAGAAGGCGTTGGACAAAGATGAGATGTCGAGCATCATTGTAAAAACAACGTAAAACTTTGATATGGATATCATTTTGAAATGTTGATGTTGTAACGACATCAGACGTCGATGTTGAGATGACATTGAGCATTGTTGTGAAATCAAAGTTGTGAAATGAAAATGAGAATATTTAATGAATGTGGTATTAAGTGCGGGCGATTTATTTGGTATTGTGGATAAAATATGTAAGATATGTGTGTCGGACACGTGTGTCCAATTTGTATTTAATATTTTTTTAATTGGACATGTTTGCAGTGTGTCTGAAACATGTCGGACGCGTGTAGTGTCGGATACATGTTAGATACTACACCCCTCTTTGAGGAGAAGTGTCAGTGCATCATAGGAGTCATACAATAGAAAATCCACACCTTACAACAATACAAGAAGAAAACTTATATTAAAAGCTACCGTCGATAACTTTCACTATACCAAAGAATTCAATATTATAACACACTAGTTTGAGAGAGACTAAATTAAGTTTAGCAACATGGTGTTTTTTTAACATGCCTTGAGAAACTCAAAATTATGATTCAAAATAAAAAAGAAATCAAAATTAGTAGTTTCATGAAAATTCAGAACTTGTCTAAACTATAAGTTTTCAAAGCTGACAATTCCTACAGTAAGCAGCTTTCCAAAATCATTGTAGTTCTAAATTGGGATGCAGTAAGGAAGGAAAGAATTTATTTTGCTACAATTCCAAATAGTTGAATTTAGGTGTGTAAACGAATCTAGTTGATCTCAAGTCACAGCCAACTTGGGCTTAGCTCGCCTACTTTGTGACGACTTGAACTCATGCTCGAGCTTGAATTGAGATCGTATGATGAGCGTGAGCTCTACTTGTTGGAATAATAGTGGGCTCGAGCTTGACTCATGAGCTCAAGGTAAAGTGAGAGAATACATCAACAACGAGAAGTTGGTGAGACCAGCGGGACTACAATTGGAGCTCGTTGGAGAAGTTGCAATGTGAACTTGCAGATGGTGGCTTCAACGACGATGAGCCGACTCGTAATGGGAGCTTGTTGGAGAATGTATTGATGACATCGGTGTCCGGGATCTTGATAAGAGCTCGTTGGAGAAGGCAATGTTTTGACTAGTAGGGATTGATGGATGTTGTGATGGAGTTTGTTAAAGTAGGCATTGACGGGAAGTATGCCGTCTTTTGATGTTGAAGAGGAGTTCGTGTGATGGGACTAGGATTTGAGCTCAAGTAGGTATTGATGGAATCAACAACGGATTGAAATCAAATGGTTGAGAAAGAAATGTGATATAGAATTTACGATTTACTTGAGCCGGCTCGAAAGCTAACATGTTGAGTCTTGATGAACTCGAACTTGCATAATATATGGGTTCTAGTTTAAGCTCAAGTTTAAGCTTATGGCTCGATAAACTCAACTCATGAGCTTGATAAACTCAACTCTTGAACTAGTTAGCTAGCAAACTAAGCTCACTTGCATTCCTAGATGAACCCTAGTTATAGTAGGAAATTGAGAGTAGAATGAAAGAAAACAACCATAAATCTTCCCTTTTGCACAAAACCTATAAGGAAGTTAATCACAAATTTTGACTACTATGTAAAATCGATAAGGAAACCAAGCGGTTGCTGAAATCTCGACCACAGTAGAAAACCTTGAAGGAAATGTGCAATTAATGGTTAATTGTTGGAAATTACCTTCAACATCATTGCCATCTCACCAATTCGATGACATCTGCAATAGTAACCAACTACAATGACCTTCCAAAATAGTGCTAGGACGAGAACAAGGAATCAAATTTGTTGAATAGGGAGTCAACGAGAACCAATGGCTAGAGATTCAAACCAACATAAAGAACCAAACTAAATCAACTTAGAATTTAGAGGACACAAACCATTCTCTGTAAGATCATTAATATAGGCATCTTTCATTAAAATAAACTAGAAAGAATACAAAACTATAAAATAAAATGACAAAAAATTTCAATATTCACAATAACCATGTGTTTGACTTTGTGCTTACCTCTGGCACTTCCAGCACATATAATCCTTTTGATTTTGTCAAATAGACCCGACTTGTAAAAAATTGGCTACAACAAATCAAGCATTAGATGCTTGTCAAGAAAATATGGGCATGATCATTATCCATCTTGCGAAGTAATTGATAAATGATCATATATAGATCTATCATGCAAGATACAAGATACCTCTAATATTCACCATTAGTAGTGGACATAAGTTCTTCATTTAGAATAGCCTAAGAAATAAGATATATGGACTATTAGATAAAGTGTTGGGTATAAATTGGCAGGAAGGAGATGGGAAAAGAAAACAATGCAAGTAATTAGTAGCAAGTTCATGAAATCAAGTAAAATCAGATACATATATTGAAGACTGAATTAATTCACAAGTTTATAATTGTTTGACAGTTTTAATTTGTAAGCATTCATACTAACCTATTGCAAGAGTTTTATGATCCTACTTTTTATTTAATTTCTTAAAGATCCCTATAGAACCTTTTGGATTTAGGTGTGCTATTATCTTATCAGTTGATTTAAATTTCACATATCTTTTATTCATGTCAAAAACATATTTATAATTATTCATAATCAACCATCAATTTTCTAAGAATATTTTCTTGCAAATTATGCATAAGTTATGAAAATGATTGTACAAATCACTAGGTACTCAATATGATGTTTAGTAAGATCTTTTTAGATTTTTTTGATTGAATCTCTGCAAAAATTCTTATGTATTTATGCCCTTACTCCAAAATTTAAATTTACTTATACCCTTAGACCTATTAGTAGATGAATTATATACAAACTCATTAAAAAAAATTAATCTCAACCATATGAATTTTCTTTAATCAAATTTTCCAACTTTTCATCAAGACTCCTATTAATTACATCAATTTGTTCCTTAGTTTGTGGGCAACAAACCTTTGAAAATTTTTGTTGTGTTATCACCTTTTTCCATAGAATTATTTAAAAATAATTTTATGAATTTTACACATCTATCAAATATAATATTTTGGATAATTGAAACAATATTATTCCTTTGTGATACGCAGGGGGTTAGTCAAAACAGGGGCTGGGCTGGGAGGAACCTAGCATGGAGAAAGAAGGGGGTTCAACCCTCCTTGTGGGGCCCAGGAAAGATATGATTCATATGTATGGAGGAGGAATCAAGGGGGAATGATTTAGGGAAAGTGTTCTAATTTTGAATTCAAATATGAGAGGGAATTACTTAGGAAAGATGGCTGATTTGAGAGGGAATTAATTAAGGAAGGAGGTTAATTTGAGAGGGAATTAATTAAGGAAAGGGGGCTGAATTAGGAGGAAATTAGGAGTGCCTATTTAGGACTAACTATATTGTTATTTTGATATCTTGAAATTGATTTTATGTTTTAGTTTTCTTTGTGAGTTTCCTAGTGGTGTCTACGGTTTGTGGAGAGCCGATCTACCTCTCGAATAGTAGATCAATTGTATGTTGCTTTATTTTTTAAGGAGAAATCAGAAAACAACTATTATCTTTGTGTTCACACTCTTTTCTTCTCTTTTATTTGTTGTTTTTACTTCCAAGATGTATCAAATTGGTATCAGAGCTAGGTTTTTGGAGGGATGACAGAAAAGAAAGTGGATGCATTAGAAGGCGAGTGAAATTCGGGATGGAGGAAAGTTCTCAACCATTGAAGGAAAGTTTTCTACCATGGAAGGAAGGTTTTCATCTATGGAAAACCAATTTGGATGGGTGGAGGAGATGATTATGAAGCTCATGGAGATA